AAATAACGACTTTATTCAACAATTCGTCTCCTCTGTGTCTCTCCGCATCACCGTAGTGCCATTTTGGAGAACATCCGCTGAATGCAAGCAGCGTAAGCTCTTCTGTGTCAGCCGCGACACAAGGATACATTTTCTAACATGTCTGATATTAACTTAGTGACACTCTTATGGAAATATGATAATATTTTGTAATTGTCATTTAAATCGGACAAATTTTTAACTCTCGTTTTTTCTTTTTTTTTTTTTAATGCTCTAAACAATGTAGTGACATCAAAAAATACAAATTTTTTTCCTAAAATGTTTTGCCAGGTCTTAAGAGGTTAATGAGTTCACACGTAATGTAAAGAATGTTTAATTCATACTGGAAGCCGGAGGGCGCTCTTGCACAGAAACTCCACATATCCATAGCAGAAGAAATACTACTGACAATGCTCCAGGAAGGTATCCAGTTATCGCTGAATAAAACGCACAATGGAGGTAGAGACATTTTAACTGATGAAACTTGAGGAAAATAAACATAAGTTTGAAAGCACACCTTTCAGCCAATCAGTATAGCATATTCAGCTTCTGTAGACCTACTCATAGGTGAATTTAACTCATAATCATGATGAACTCAATTTCATGATGAACTTCACACAGTTAATTGAATTGAATCATTGCTATTAAAACAATCTGTATTTTGTTTACTTTATTTTACAGGTTGGAACAAACATGGTGGAATTCCTTAACCGAGTAGAGTCCACAAAACCCCATCCATTTGTCATGGCGATTTGAAATTGCCAGCAGATCGCTCGGGCATTGATCATAATCAATGGACAGGTAAGGATATTCTGGACAATTTTCAAAAGGAATTGCAAATTGTATATTTAATTGCATTTTTCCACATGTGGATGCTGGAACATCCTATTGATTACACAGTTTGAAAGCACACCTTTCAGCCAATCAGTATAGCATATTCAGCTTCTGTAGACCTACTCATAGGTGAATTTAACTCATAATCATGATGAACTCAATTTCATGATGAACTTCACACAGTTAATTGAATTGAATCATTGCTATTAAAACAATCTGTATTTTGTTTACTTTATTTTACAGGTTGGAACAAACATGGTGGAATTCCTTAACCGAGTAGAGTCCACAAAACCCCATCCATTTGTCATGGCGATTTGAAATTGCCAGCAGATCTCTCAGGCATTGATCATAATCAATGGACAGGTAAGGATATTCTGGACAGTTTTCAAAAGGAATTGCAAATTGTATATTTAATTGCATTTTTCCACATGTGGACTCATAAATTGTGACATAGTCCAAACACAACTGAAAATCTTGCATTACCATTTGTGTTTTCGCTTTCGTGAACTCACAGTGACTGCCACATTTCAAATGGAAAAGCAACTGTAACTGTATTTCCCATGTCTTACAAGTAATGAGTCTGTCGTATTTAAATAGCAATATTAATTACCATGTCTGGTTTTTCACTCTCTCTATGCCGTGCATGTAATATGCCAAAACTCAAATGGAATCGCAATTCATTTAGCATTTGAATTTCAGATGCCTTACACAGAAACCTGTCAATCCGTGTCAGGGGTGGGACTATACTATGGGGCGTGTTTGTATTGGGAGGTGACGTCACTCACAAACGATTGTGCCAAATAAAATAATTCATAAATAATTTTGTCGTTTTTTACCCCAAATCTCTCACTGTTTGCACTCTGATGCACGTCAGCAAAACAACATTGCAATTCTACTCTTATTTGCCTATTTGCATCTTACCCTATATTCTATTCCTCTCTTCTTGAGGCAGGTGAAAAGCATTTGGTTAATGGTGAATATTGACCAATAGTACCGTTGTGGCTCCCACTGTTAGCAGGGGATAGTCGCTGCATTTGGGGTAAAAACGACAGAATTATTTATTGTGTAAGGTGCCAAGAATATAGGGAGACCCGGGCACAATTGTCTGTGAGTGACGTCATGCATCTACGCTAACATTAGTCTGTTTCATTCTTATTCCGAGGTCACCATAGCCACCCGGATCCAGTCAGTATCCAGATCAGATGGTCACTGCAGTCATCCGGATCTAGTCTGTATCCAGACCAGATGGTGGATCAGCACGTAGAGATGACCTCGACAGCTCTGAATGTCAGCTGAGACCAGGACATCTAGATGAGCCCCAGAGACAGATCCCCAGACCTCGTCACCTAGACGGCCATCGGCACAAGGCCACGGGAACCAGATGAGTCCACTGCACAATCAGACTCTGCTGCAGCCTGGAATTGAACTGCTGGTTCATCTGGCCAGAGGAGAACTGGCCCCCCGACTGAGCCTGGTTTCTCCCAAAGTTTTTTTCTCCAATTCTGTCACCAATGGAATTTTGGTTCCTTGTCACTGTCGCCTTTGGCTTGTAGTTAGGGACACTTAATTTCTGGCAATATTGTCAACTTGATTGCACAGATACTATTTCAACTGAACTAAGCTAAACGATGACATCACTGAATTAATAATGAATTGACTTTAGCTGAAAAATTGAGTGTTTACTATTGTCCTCTTGCATTATCGACAGTATTTTCCTGTTTAATTCTTTAAAGCTGCTTTGATGCAATCTGTATTATATAAAGCACTATTACTCATAATAAATACAGTTGCAAATGGACTTTGCTTTTTCATTTGAAATTTGGCAGTCACCGTGCATTCTGCATTCGGCAAACAGTACTGCAAGATTTGCAGTTGTGTTTGGATTATGTCACAATTTGTCACATGTGGAAAACACAATTGAAAATATAATTTGCAATTCCTTTTGAAAATTGTCTGGAATATCCTTCCATAGACAGGCTCTATAGCAGAGCACACTGCTCTCAGCTGTAGATCTTTGCTTCAAAGCTTTCTAAAAGTGTTTGACGATAGTTCACTCAAAAATGAAAATTCTGTAATTAATTACTCACCCTGGTCTGAAAGCTCTCGGATTTCATCTAAAATATCTTGTGTTCCAAAGATGAACGAAGGTCTTACAGGTTTGTAACGACATGAGGGTGAGTAATAAGGCCCAATCCCAATTCTATTTTATACCCCTTCCCCTACCCCTACCCCTCCGCCTACCCCTTCCCCTTGTCTCTTGAAACAGAGTGTCAAGGGGTAGGGGTGAAAATATTCCCCTAAGAATTGGGACACCACTACTATACGTCACACGTCA